GTATTTTAGCTTGCATGAATCACAATAAGGCATAATGCTGTATTTTAGCTTGTTTGAATCACAATAAGGCATAATGCTGTATTTTAGCTGGTTTGAATCACAATAAGGCATAATGCTGTATTTTAGCTTGTTTTAATTACAATAAGACATAATGCTGTATTTTAGCTTGCATGAATCACAATAAGGCATAATGCTGTATTTTAGCTTGTTTGAATCACAATAAGGCATAATGCTGTATTTTAGCTTGCATGAATCACAATAAGGCATAATGCTGTATTTTAGCTTGTTTGAATCACAATAAGGCATAATGCTGTATTTTAGCATGTTTTGATTACAATAAGACATAATGCTGTATTTTAGCTTGTTTTAATTACAATAAAGCATAACATTCTAACTTAACTTGTTTTTAACTACAATATAATGCACAATGTGGTATTTTAGCTTACCTCGAGGCAGAAAGGTAGTTTTCCTTTTTTTGCAGTTTTTTTTTTTCAGGGAAAAAATTCAGGCAGGGGACTTCCAGTACGTTTCAAGTTTCAAAGATTTATTCAGTGATCATCTGGCTTATTTATGGTACAATGAGTTAAAATTAACCTTCTGGTTTGTTTTAGAAGTAAAATATGGCAAAAAGTGATATCACAGTTTCCTTGAAGAACAAAATTTAGACCTCGTATTCTTATTTGTTTAAAGTAATCTATGTTAAAATGAGGTAATTCGATTGGTTTCAAGGTGATTTATTCAGTTGTATTCTGGCCTGTTTCTAGCACAATAATCTACAGGTTATTCTTGATTAAGAACATTCATGATTAAAAATCAGTACACTTTAGCTAAAAGTATAAAAATTTATATTATTACACATTTAAATACATGAGCTGCTTTATATTACTTAACCAATATTCACGTATTACATTTCAGTTTCAGTTGCTAAATGTTACTCTCTGTTCGTATGATGACAATATAAAGGCACTTATTTTATTATCGTTCATAACAAGCTATGAAAATTTAATATAATTCTAATTACTTCAGTTTTTGTTGCCTCCAGTTACTATGTTGTGATCAACTCCTTGCTTCCATTCCAGACCGTTTATTCTAACTAATTTCCTAATCAGCTTGCTTTAAACTTAATTCACAATCAGCATAACGTTCTTTGTCTCCAAGCCGTTTATTTAATATAAATTACCTTGTAATCAACTCACTGCTTTTTAAGTTGTTTGGTTTAAAGAACTTCTCAGCCATCCTAACTCTCATTGTTTGCTTTAACTTACCTCAAAATTAACTTCATTTTCATTGTTTCCAAGTCGTTTATTTGGACTGCTCTGTTCAGTTGCCAGATCCTGAGCATGTTTAAGCAAGATACTGTTAAAATCGGCCTCGTTATTTACTTCTAGGAGGCGCTGCCGGAAGTCCATGTCAGCAAATATGGTGGAGAATGTCCTTCCGGTCTCTAGGGCATTCTTCGTTCCTTTCTGGAGAAGTGAAACAAACGAGTGTGAAGCAAACAAACAATATACTCTCTTATGACTGAACAGTCTTTATTTAAGATAAAACGTTACTGATTAAGCCTGAACTGATTGCAATTATATAAAAATGTATTGTCACTAATTTAGAAGGCATTATTGTTGATACGTTATTTAAATAAAATAATTTAATTAAGAGAGTTCACTAATTTCGACCTCTACGTTTTAACCACTTGTCTAGATGTTTATTTACATATATACATATATACTAATACATCATATTTCGTTAAAACCACAAAATATGCTTAGAATATAAAAACTCTTTGATCTTGTACCTTTAAGATTTTTCTTAAATATTGAATCTACATCAAGAATCATTTAAGCTCTAGAAATTGAATAGCAGAAGTCATTTTCAACAAATTCAAAATATTCATTAGTGTCACTATTTGAAACTTTTTGTGTAAGTTCTCACCTTCAGAGAAAATTTACATTTTACTTTGAGGCTTTGTCTGAAAATATTACCAAAGTATCAAAATATAAGTGTAAATTTCACACAAATTTTTCATTTCGAATAACAACTCAAAACGTTTCGAATGAAATAAAAATAAAACTTCCGGTAAGTTTTACCTTTACCTCGTCTTACTGGTTTAAAATTTAATTTGTATACGTGTAAGACCAGTTTTTAGCAAAATTCATTTTAAAAATCCATTAGTTTTTAGGAACACCAAAAGGACGTCCACTTTTCTAGGACAAAGTTTTCGATTCTTTTATTTCTTCTATGATCCCATGATTTGCCTGGAATGTTGTCCTCTAAAAAATGCTTTTTTATTTTCCTACATAAGTCCATTTTTCAGATGATCATCAAATATTTATTACTGTACCTAACACGACACATGATAAAGACGTTTGTGAAGATTGCATTCCATCCCTGCCCGTACTTTTTAACTTTAAATTCCAGATTGTGTTAATGAAGGCTTACTCCCAACATTAGAACCGACATAGATAGAATTTTTAAAAAACTTACTCCAAATAGAACGTATACTGACAGAATTTCTTACTTTTTCAGGTAATCCAAAAGGAACTGATTTTTTAAACGATCTGGTTATGTTTTTTAAAATATATCTCTTATAATAACGATTTGTTTTGTCTTATTGTCAAGCAAAAACCAATACAATGGGCTCATCTGTGTTCTGCCTAAAAAAAAAACGAATTGTACCGTTATAAGCCCTCAGACTTACCGCTGTGCCATCGGGGGGGAGGGTGGGGGTGGGGGCTCGTAGTAAAGAAAACTTAGATAAAGGCTACTTATAAGAATAAAATAGCAATATAAATATATATATATTTCTATTTTGTAAATGGGGCATAGGACATTGTACAATTAGATTAAATCAACATATAACATTACCATCAGTTAGATTAGATGTAACTCTACTTAGCAAGAACGTTGTTTTGGTTTAGGAGTTTCGTTATAAACTAAACACGTTGAAGTTAGTAGTACTTGAGAGGGATCTGTAAACATACTAGAGTTCAACAACTCTAAAACGTCTTCAGTTATTCATATGATAGTCTCTCCAGCTAGAGGTGCCACTAATTTTATAATTAATCGTACAATAGCTTTATCCGGTTGCAGCTTTTCCAGTCAACAGTTTAGTAATCACTGTCAACGGAATTGTTTTATTAACATTTCACGGACAGCGCTACAGCTTTCTCTACAGACTTAGTTGCAGACCACACCAACTAAACGTACGACAGACTTTTTCGCTGATATTACTACCGCTTACATAATTAAATTTATCACCTACTAATTGTGCCCCTGCTAGTTTATTTACATACCATAGCCTTTGTTACTTGGGATTCACAAGATCTTTTATCAATCCCACCAGAATCGTTACCGCCAGCAATGAAACTGCTTCTTAAATTAACCCTATCATAGACTTTACCACTGGTGATGATAGTGTTTCTTAAATTATCTCCACCACAGACTTTACCGCTGGTGATAATATTTCTTCTTAAAATAACTCCAGCACATGTTTTACCACCAGTGATGATACTGATTCTTAAGTTAACTCTATCATATTCTTTACCGCTGGTGGTGATATTTTTTCTTAAAATAACTCCAGCACATGTTTTACCACCAGTGATGATACTGATTCTTAAGTTAACTCTATCATATTCTTTACCGCTGGTGGTGATATTTTTTTCTTAAAATAACTCCAGCACATGTTTTACCACCAGTGATGATACTGATTCTTAAGTTAACTCTATCATATTCTTTACCGCTGGTGGTGATATCGATTTTTCAATTAATTTTACTATGGACTTGAGTGTAGGTGTTAACTTTACTTCTTAAATTAACCCTACCTAACTGATATTAACGCTGTAATTGATACTGTTTTTTTGTAATATTCATTCAGTAGACTTTAGGGTTGTCAACGGTTCTAATAAACACCGCAAAGGAACACCAAAAACCATATTCTATCAATATGCGCATGGAATTATACAAACCTGTAAATAAAGATAACATTATTACCAAAGTTGGTGTAGAAGATCTTTGGGATTCAGCTTACCCGCTTCCAGTCTTTACCATCTCTCAACCAACAAAGTGTGTGATTTGAACTCGTTTACTATATGAGTAAAAGTCAATAGCATTTGTGGAAACCAGTTAACATATACATGTAG